AATGAGAGGCTGTAGATGAATTCATACACGGATATCATGTCTGTATGGGGGAACCCACAAAATCTTTTTCTTCCAAGAGGTCAAAACTTATTTTTAGGGGGAATACAAGAAAGCAAATAAATGTCTAGAAAGAGTTTTATAGTAAGATGGAGGCAGTGCCACTTTCTCTGTATTATTTATTGCTGCAAGTTGTGATAGCCGTCAATATTCACTGTCTTTGTTTAGTTTGTGGTCACTGGTTAATTTTTGCCTTTTGGTAACTTGGTGGTAATAATCAAAGAGGGGCATTTCAGAGTCTTTGGCCATTAGTAAACCCTTGCTTGCAGGGAAATGACCAAGAGGAGTGACAATACACTTCAACAGGGAACTGGCATATAGGATATGGAGGACTTAGCATCTTTCAGGGCAACGAACTGGATCGAGAGCTCTGACATATAGGAGCTTGGAAAAGGGTTTCTGAGAATAAAAGGGATATTTCTAGACTGTAACACGAGTCAGTCAGAAGGAAGAGTCATGAGTGTGACTTCACTATTCCAGAGGGCACCCTTCAAATTAGTTTAGCAAAGGCAGAGATGTCCTCCCAACATCAAGAGAACAGAAGGGTCAAGCAGTCTCTGTGCCTTGATGTAGCCAAGGACTTCAAGGTGGCCAGCAGGATTTTTCATCTTTATTTCTTGGCAATATTTCTGGAAGACTTCATGTCTGCCTGGTCCTTGTCCTGTATGTGGGAAGATGACAGTTGAATTTCCAACCTTGAAATGACTTTATCATAAGCAGTGCCATAAAAGAACTTTCCAGAGATCGCTGTGAAGCCCCAGGAGGACTCCACTGGGGAGAACATGTTGGTATCAGTTGGTTAGTGCTATTAACCACTAAGCTCAGACCCAAGACTCCACACTCCGGTGAAATTCTTGCATAGAGAAAATGACCGGTGGATGCCACTGGGTATCTGTGACTTAGAATGGTGGGCATGCTACCATTTTGTAGTCATGTCATTTAGGACGGAACACTGTCTTTACTGCTCCAGCACAGGAATTCGGCTGGCGTTAGAAGTGGCCAACAATACACTTGCACTTCCACAGGCATTCTCTGCCACCCAACTCTACCTGCTTCATGTTGTACTGGCCAGAGCTGCCACATGATCCTTCCGAACTCTAACGTGGCAGGAATGTAGGCAAGTACTAGAATGTCTGATGAGCATCACTGTCCTTGCCAACCTGGCTGAGGTCATATCTATCTTTAAGTCAACACTGTGGCCAAAGAAAGATAGATATTTTAGTTTTTGGTTATGGGTTCTATACCATCCCTGTAGACAGAGCTCCACTTACACACTCCAGAGATACTAACATCCCCAAAACCAAGCCAATAATTGATATTTTTTTTCCTGGATTACTCTAAGCAATCAAAAGTTTAAATTCTCAGAATCAACTGTTCAGGCAAATTTTTCTCAGAGTGAAACATATATCCAAGGTAGAATTGACTGAATGGGTGATTACCAAGGACACACAGTATATGTCATCTGAAAGGGAAAGGACATTGGCATTCCTGAAATTCAGCTCACACCACATGCCTGGGAAGGTTGCCGAGGGAGGATGGACACAAGCATCCATCAATGACCGGGAGACAGTTCAATGGGTACGTCTACCCATGTATAGCATGTGACCAGACCTGCTTCAGCAAGGGTCCTGTGCAAACTCTTTCTCATGGAAAAGTGGTAATGTGGACGAGAGGCAAAGTAATGACTCCTTGATGGTATCAACAATCTAATACCAGACCCTGTGATTATTCCAAGTTACATGCACAATAAAGAAGAATTTCTATGATAGGTGACATGAAGGCTCCAAGTGCAGAATTTGAACTGAAATTAGGAAGGCTTCCATATAATCTTGCAGTTCTTTGGAAGTGATAAAGAAGAGTCAGAGAAACTGGGCTGTGGTGGCATATGCCTTTAATCCCAGCACTCAGGAGGCAGAGGCAGGCAGATTTTTGTGAGTTCAAGGCCAGCCTGATCTACAAGAGCTAATTCCAGAACAGGTTCCAAAGCTACAGAGAAACCCTGTCTCAAACAGCCACCCCACAAAAAGAAGAGACAGAGACACAGCACTGAGAAATGGATTCTGGCCTTGCTGGCTTTGAAGATGGGGAGTAGAGGCTGAGAGAGAAAGTATGAAGCCAGAGAGGATAAGGGACTATTTTTTTTTCCTTAGAGTTTCTAGAAGGTTCCAAACCAAAGTGGCTCCTTGATATTAGCCCAGGGATACTTCTCACCCCTAAAACTGTAATATGGTAAATTTGTGTTTTCAGCTATTGACTTTATCATAGCAACAATAAGAAACTAACTTTTGAAATTCACACATCCTAGGAAAAGGGGATTTAGACAGGACAAAGTCCTTTAGGAAGAGCAAATCCTTTAGGCTGTAGAAGTTCTAGGCTGTCCTCGGGAGATGGAAGGGGCACTAGACAGACAAGGGCATCAGATGCCATGATTCCAATGATGGCTAAGCTGGCCGAGAACAAAGAGGTTCTAGAAAATGCAGTATTTCTTTGGCCTAGTGTGTCCTTCATGGGATCAAGGTGGTCCACTATCTAACTACCCTTATGACCTTAAATATAGACAATGAATTAGAACATAGTAAATGTAAGCCAAACAAAAACAACCAACCAGGTATTTTCTCAGCAGGGCACAAGTTGGGTGGGACACTAAAAGAACTGAAACTCTGCAAGCCAAGAAGTCCAGGCCAAACCCACAGACCTAGTGAAGGAGCAGCGTAGACACAGCCCGGACTTGAGAAAGGTAATTTTGCTAATGAGTTGACCCTGGGTGTGCCCTATAGCGTAGTCACACAGGAGATGGTTATGAAACAGTGTTCCCTTATGGGTAACTCAGAAGCTTGCACACAGTGTAAGCTGGGTTTTTTTTTTTTTTAACCTCTTCAATCACCTTGCCCGCCAAGAAGAAAAACTACAGGGAAAAGCCTTCCTTCTTGGACTCAAATGGATGCCTCCTTCCCACTTGGAGGAGTTGGTTGGTCCCAGCATGCAGGTGGAATACTAATTGGTTCCAAGGAAAGAGGCTTCCACGGTTGGTAATGGGCCTCCGAATTCATCGCAGCTCCGAGAGGCATCGCAAGCGAAGCACTGTGACCATTTTGCAGAGACTCAGAGGCTTCCCCCTGGGAGCTAATGGTCCCAGGCTTGTTCTTAGGCGAGCATGTGTTCACATTAAGCCTGAACCTTAGTGGCGGCACATCTACTAGTTATCGGCATCCGTGTCATCTGGAGCAGACAAGTCACTCCAACATTTGGATCACATTAGCACCATTTGCTGGCAGCTCCTTACAGAGGGACTCAACCTCCTCACGGAGGCCAAAAGAGTCTCAGCACCCCTTCTAGGAACAGCTCTGCTGTAGGACAGCTGAGGCAGGAACTATTGACACACTCTGCCCCCAATGCCAAGTACCCACAGCTTCTGGTTTGTGGGTATGAGAAGGCTTCATGACACCCAGGCATTGGTTACCAGACTTGCAAACGGTTCGTTTGTTAAGTTAATGCATGAAGTAAAGGAGGCCTACCACCTATGGCGCACTGAAAAACACATGCCTGGTGCACATCTGTTATCTAGCTTCATCACCATGGTAACGCTATGGGGCTTAGACTGTTATTCTTAGTTCTAAACTCAAAGACCTAAACTCTAACCATCCTGGGAAGGTTAGCTCGTCCAGTTGAACTGCTATTTCCTAGCAGAGACTGGGCATTCTCATGATGTCTTTGCACATCTTATATGTTGTATTTTAAAGCATCCTCTTCAAAAGGTCCCACCCATCCTGCCAATGTTCTTTATCATCTAAATAAACAATCTTTCCTTCTCCAGCACATAGTTTCTATACTTCTAAATACGATGAAGATTGATTCAATTCTAATAATTGATATATACTTTCTTTCCTTTTCTTCTGCTGGGAATTGAACCCAAGGCCTCGTGTGCAAGTTAGGCAGGTGAGAGGCTATGCTATCCATCCTATATCACTAATCCCTCGATATGCATTTTCATAGGGTAATATAGACATGAATGGAAAATTCTAATGTTGTTGGGTAATACAAGCTCTGGGTTTAGCTTCAGAAAGGTAGAATTTGTTCTTCTTTATAAAATTATAAAAGAAAACCACCTAAATTCCAAATTCTTAAAACCATCACTTTTAAGTGGAGAAAATAATGCCTGTCTCATGCCTGGGGAATGTTATCAGGATCAAATGGACTAAGAGGTGCAAAATTGTTATGCCCTAGTCATTTGTGTGCTCACAGAAATAAGCATAGGCCTATCTGCATTCTGTATCAGTTTTGAAGTTATAAAGGCCAGAAGTCTAGGCCTGTCATAGAATCCAGTTCGTCTTCAGAGAGTCATCCGTCTTGGGAATGAGTCCCAGGGTTTTAATATCAGCCACCCATTTGTTGAGAGCCTCCTCCACACGAATTACTTCTAATCCTCACAGCTCTCTCTCTTCAAAGCACATATCATTGTGCACCCATAAATCTTGAGAGACTGAGGCCGAGGTGTTGAGTATCTTGCTTAAGTAGGCGACAGAAAGAAGATGACAAACCAGGAGAGCAAATTTGAAGTCTGTCCAGAGGCTTGAATTTGGTAGGAACAAACTGATAAATAAAAATGCTAAGAATTATATTGATCTGCTTGAAAACTCACTAATTTTTAGAGAGAGAGAGAAAAAAACTAGCCTATAAGTCTAACCACAAATTTTGTCCCTTAATTACTCTTGAATTAAATGTTGAGTCTACATTTCTACTTTGCCCCTTAAGAGGGAAAAAAAGACACGAATAAAGAGATAAATGTCACATACAGAATGACATTGTAGGATCCTGCCAAAATCAACATATCCATGAGATGGTCTGAGCTTGTGTTTCCACTGACCCTTGTCCCGCTCACCTTTGACAAGGGGCTACCCGTCCTCCACTGAGATTAGGACAGAGTGCAGAGCAAAGGGCAGACTTAGTGGCAGAAAGGGACACATTTGGCTCCATTACTAAACCCTCTGCCTGCCACCCTCCTACCAGACTTCCTGCTTAATCTTTATTTAAGTCCTTTGAACAAATGTCCAACAAGGCAAAGATGCCAGCTGGATACAGGATGGAAACTGTGTTGGGGAGGGACAGCTTGTCTCCAGGTAAGAATCTTGTTGAGTCACCCTGCTTCTCTACACCAGACCTGTGGGGTTTGGATGAGAAAGAACATAGCAGGTTGGGAAGAGGGCGGATGCCGGAACAGAGCAGGTGGGCGTGTACCCCGACTCTGCCATGTTCACTTTATATCTAAATGAATTACTTAACTTTTCTGACTTCACTCATCATCTCTAACGGAGGATAATCTCAAAGAGTTATTAGTAATATTATCTGGCCCAGGTGAAAGGCTCAAGACACTGACTGACCTATCGGGTGTGTACTAATTGTTGCCGTTAGAAGATGGTAGATGCAGAAGTCGGGTGGAAGAGGAGATGTACACATTTTCACCTTTAACTGGAGCAATCCTGCAGTGTCCCAGGTCAAGCACCATGGCTCTGGATGGGCTTAAAGCCTTATACTCTACGTAGAATGGTCCCAATGTCACCTAGAAACACTTTTCTTGATTCCTTGCCACAATGTGACCAGATTGGGCATGATTCAGACCCAAGAATTTACCAGGAATGGTTCTCACCAACCCTCGTCTGACCTTTGCTAACAGACTCTTGTCTCAAATGGCAGTGTGGGAGCCAACCAATTGCATCTACCTTGAGCTCCTTTAAAGTACGCAGACCTGATTTCCGTCTGGAGAACTGGCACTCTTGCATAGGGGCCAACCCCTTATCACAGATCATCTTGAGGTCCAGAGATAGATGTGGCCAACTCAAGACTGGGCAAGAGAGGAAGGAACGGCACTTAGGTGAAATAGTATGTCTGTCTGAGCGTTCCTATGCGAGCCTCATCTACCATCCAGAGGCCAGATCCAGCCACTAAGGTACTAACAGACTACAATCCTAGTTCTACATGCTTAATTCTCCACAGAAGAGGATCCTGGTGACATTTTCTGACAAAGAGTATAGTTTTTCAAATTTTCCCTTAATGGCTGTGTGTTATTCCTATCTGCATTGTCAACTAAAGCTTTCCCCCTAAGACCTTCATGGAAAAAGAAATGTGATCTCAAATCCAGAATACTAATGGCTAGTATGGACCAGTGAGTAAGACACAGTAATTGTCACTAAATTGTCTTAATAGAGCATAGATTTTGACAAAATTGTGACTGGCAGATGGTTCAGTGCAAAGTATAACATGATCCTCATGGGGTCATTCCAGGGACACCAAGAAACTCATTATTTACCTTTAAACCTGACAAGAGAGGATGGGCTAAATATAACCCTTAAGGACTAGAGACATGGCTCAGTACTTTGGATCACTTCTTGCTCTTCCAGAGGACCTGACTTCAGTTCCCAGCACCCACTTTGAGCAGCTTACAACTGCTTGTAACTCTAGTTCCTGGGGGACCCAACATATCTATGCATACATACCCAATCTCATATATATATATAATTATATATATATAATTAAAAAATAAAAATAAATCTTAAAAGAAAACAAAATACTTGGTGGCAAAGGTTATGTGAGTTTGTGCCTGTTGTTTGTTGACTTGTTTGTTTGGGGTGTAAGTTGGGGATTTGCATAAAAGTCATAGGCTTTGCATTAGAGATGTCTTCCCCTCCGAGGATAGGGACAATAGAAAAGAATGGAAAATAGATCCAAATGCAAAGACCTAGGACTCACAACACAAGGCACTGAGCAGAGGAACTCTCCCTTTCCTTCTTAACTCCAGAGGGATGAAGTGGCTCTGGGCACATGAGTATAAAACTGCTATGGAAAATGTTCTTGTATACTGTAAAGATTTGTCACTCATATTGGTTTAATAAAATGCTAATTGGCCAGTAGCCAGGCAGGAAGTATAGGCGAGACAATCAGACTAGGAGAATTCTGGGAAGAGGAAAGGAAGAGACATAGTTGTTATCCAGAATCAGAGGAAGCAAGATGAGAATGCCTTTCTGAGAAAATGTACCAAGTCACATGACTGAACATAAACAAGAGTTATAGGTAATTTAAGTTGTATGAGCAAGTTAATAATAAACCTCAGCTAAAAGGCAAAACAGTTTACAAATAATATAAGCCTTTGTGTGTTTCTTTGGGACTGAATGCCTGAGGGACCAGGCAGGACAGAAAGTTCCATCTACAACCTCAATGCCTAACCCCAACTCCATTTCTAGATACCTATGGAATTTTGAAAAGGTATGTTAACCTTTCTGAGGTTCATTCTTATCTACAAAAATGCAGATTCTTCTCACCCCACAGTTAGCTGGAAACAATCAAACAGTATAATTTATATACAAGTGCTCCATAAACTTTTAATGTGCCATCATATTTATTCTGGAAGTGATCACAAAGTGTCACCCCAAATGCTGATGGATTTGGATTGAGGGCATGTGGGGAGAAGCGACAAACACAGGGAAGAACTTCCCTTATCTGCATGGAGGAGACAGATCTTCAGAATGGAGCTGGATGGGCATGAGCCCATTCTGGGAATGTCATCAGAAGATAAACTCAGGCAGTAGGAAATAAAACATGGAAGTTGATATCATGTCCATGCAGACTATGGCATCACTTGCTGTTTTTAAGCTTCATTCATTTCCCCCACAGATCACTTAATTTCCTATTGGTTTGTCTATATCCTTCCTGCTTTCTCTCCTGTTAAGACGGAACTTGAGCCTCTAGATCATAGGGCCTTGAGGTCTTCACTTTTCTCTCCTATGACAACCCTATACCCATATTATAGTAACACACCTTCTATCCTGTTAATATGTTTGCTGTTGGTGTACCCCATAGACTCAGCTATAGTGCCCTCAAATGACTGAAGGAAAAGCTTCCATCCACACAGTTCCTGTTATGGAAAAGTCCACTATCTAATAAGCCTAATGCGCAGGTCCTATTCCACAACAGATGATAAAGATCTTGAGGCATAGCTTTTGCTATTTCTAATTTACCCCTAATACAATGTCACACTCATAGGAAAGGTTCCGAGACTGGTGCTAGCCAACACTGATCATTTTCTCATATATGACACCCTTTATCTTCCCAAAGAACTCTTTCTGCTATTGTAAATTTCAGCCCAGATCTTTGTAATTGGGAATACTTCCCTATACAGCAAATATTTCACAAGACATGTCAGCATGAATAACCATCTCTATTCATCTGCTCTCATTTTCTGCAATCAGTAGGAGTGATGCCTTGGAAGACACGGCTATATGAGCTAGAATGAATAGTCAAGAGAGGAGAGGGCAAGAAAGAGGAGCAGGGGAAATAAGTAGGGGAGACAGAGTCAGGGACACACAGACAGGAGCTCAGGTGTGCCAGGGAGAGGAAAGAGGCCCTCAGCTGAGAAACATTTTCAAGCATTTGCTTCTAACAGAGAACATTTTCCCTCCCCTAGAACACAGGGCTGGCATTGTTGCCCTTAGAGTGTATAGATTTCAGAATATCAGTCCCCACTTGCTTAGATAAATGGGGAATCATAGAGTAGGGACTCTACCTGGCTATAGAAAACCTTTAATTCTGTTATGGTGTTGGGAGGAGTCAGGACCTCTGACCACCAGGGCTGGGTTTCTTGCTCAAGGAGCAAAGCATAAATCATTGTGTAACCTAGCCATGGTTAATGTGTTTCAGCTGGATCCTGCCTTGAATTCAGAAGTTCTTTGAAGAAAAGCTTACAGGGTATATTTCACCACCAGGCACTGACTGCAGAGAGCTCTTGGCAACTGCGGTGATGGGTGAGTCACCAGCGTGGTTTCCAGTGGGTTCCTCCACTCGGGGAACAGCAGCGGTGGCATCAGCACACCTCTATTTTTGGCAGGTCATGTTTGGTGTCAGGGTTTCCTGTCGTGTGCCTTGAGCTCTTAGTCCTTCTTGACATGCGCTCTTCTCAGCGTTGGGCCTGTCAAAAATACCTCAGCAATACCAACAACCAATGGTGTTAGAAATGGGGTTAGAACATTTCAGGTTCTACTTGATGCCTTTCTTAGCTGAGTTGCTAAAATCCTCTGCAGCGTATACTTGGACGAAACGCTGGCTGGGAGGCTTCATCCTGAGCACCACAGAGGCTCCATCCATGGTAGTTTCACTTTCTCTGCTCCCGCAGGGGACAGGATCATGCTTTTCTGTTCTCTTTCCTGCTAATGGCAGACGCAAAGTGGTGGGCTCTTGTGATTCAAAGGTTGGAACGAACATCGAACAGCAGCATCTGCTGGAGATGCAGGATCCTTAGCCTCACCCAACCTGCTGAGCTCAAATTTTAACATGACCCAGGGTGATGCGCATGAGAGGTGAAACTTAGTAATCACCAAGCTAAGCTACCACCAACCACACAGCTTCAGAAGGAGCAGCTGAAGTCCCACAAGCTTGAGTGGCCTGAGTGTTAACACTATGCTCCCACTCTTCTGGGCCAGAGAAAAGAAAGGCTCTCTTATATCAGCTCCTCCCCCTGTCCTGCCACTCACTCAAACAATTTGGCCTGAGATGCTTGCCTGACATTCCATTGTATGCCCGACTTCCTACCAGGTGCCCGGACTTCCAGCAGGCTCTGGGCGAGAACACATGGGATACAGTTTGGACTTACTGAGTCATCACAGATCTTACAAGTCATGTCCTTATTTAAATGACACGCCTACAGATGGGTGCTTAAAGTGGTATCAACTCTTGTTCAGAAAAGGTGAAGGAGGGTGCAAGAAAAAGTAAAAGGATGTAAGCCTGGGAACCCGAATTGGAAGGGGCGGGGACGTCGCCATGGAAGGCTGCCTCTCCTTTCTAAACAATGAGGATTTCATTGCTTTTCCCATTTCAGTTGCGTTTTATTTGTAGGGCGTTATTCTCATTTTCTCGATTGTCTTCCCAATCCTCATTCTGCTTATGAGATGCTTTCTTGTTCATTCCCAGAGCTCAGCAAGCATCACTGGGGGTGAGGGTGGGGCTAGAGGGGTGGCGGGCATTGAGCTGGACACTGATGCCTTCACGTTCTCTGCAGGTAAAGGCAAAAAGAAGGCCTTGCTCTTGTTCAGATGAGCAAGTCTTCCAAATGTTAGCTCCCTCCCTATCTTGCAGGAAGACCTGGAAGAGACACTATATGCCGAGCAGCATTCTCAGCCATTTGAAAGAAAGTGACACACTCAGCCCAATGGTGATATTGTAAAGAAGCAGGTTTATGTGTTCTCTTTCCTAAGAATGTACCTGTTGCCAGCAGCAGTGACCTGAGATTGGGGGCATGGCCATGCCAAATAAAGGGAACTTTGACTTTTGACCTCTAACTCCAGCTTAAACTTGAGTAGCAGTAGGAAGGGATGGAGAGAAATCCCAGCTTCATCCCTTTGACATCTATGAGAAGATGAAGGTTGAAAATGGTCTTCTGTAAGTGACTGGATTGTTAAAATTAAAGTGGCTGATAGCTTTCTCCTCTATCAACACCATAGACTGCATGGCTATCATAGACATTTTTTTGAGAATTGACTCTGCGGGTGGAATTATCATTACCTAGGAGCTTATATTCTGGAGGCCTGGATTCCTTTACTATTAAACCAGGTTGGCAAACCACCAAAGGGAAACATGGTATGGTCTTTAAAGGGTAGCACAATCGACTTCCCGACAGCACAATTCTTGCTGAGGGCCCGTTTTCATTTCAAGTCCACCTATAATCAAGAGATGAAATTCCGGAGTCTAATTAGTTTAGCGCCACCCATCACCTCCACCAACCAAGCAGCAGCCGAGGGGATGGAGGCCGCTACAGAATGCATTGTTGCTGGCCAGCTCACACAAACCGTGGAGGATGACTGAACTGGGAATACAGTTGTTAGTCAATTTTTTTCTTTGCTGTGACAAAATGCCTGGGGAAAAAAAAAACAAATTAAAAGAGGAAAGACTTATATACTTCCTTTGAACCGTGGTTTCAGGGGAGGTGCATGGTCTCGGTGACCCCAATGCTTTGGGCCTGAGACAAAGGCAACTGTGATGGACCATGATGACTGGCCGAGAATGGCTGCTCCAGTCCTCTTCCTTTTCCTTTCCTTCTCCCGCCTTCCACTTTCTTATAGTCAACTTCAGTTTTTGTAAGTTTAATGCTTATGAAAAATTTCCTGTATGACATTTAGTCTAAATTTTCCTTGTTATTTGCATCTTACATTAGCGCATGATATGCTTGTCATAATTGATGAGCCAATATAGAAAACCTAGCCATTGAAGTTCATAGTTTATATGGGTTTGCCCTATGTGATGGGCATATCTATAGGTCTTGGCAAATACATATTGTCACGTCTCCATTGTCACATGATACGGAATAACTTAATTGTCTTAAAAAATTTGTATTCTGCTTACTCATTTCTCTCTTCCCTCAAATCCCTAGAAACTATGAACGGCAAAGATAGAAGCAGATAGCATGTGTGGTTTTCAGATAGCCTTCGCAGTAGGCAGAATGCAATTAAATTTTTTTTCTGTTTTTATATCTTTATAGCTCACTTCTTTTTATTGCCAAATATTATGTTGTGTAGATAGAGTATAGTTTATTTACCTGGTCTTGCTGGAGTGGAACCTCCAAAGTTTATGTGTTGGACACTTGATTGCCTTGACAGCAGCTCTGGGGGTTAGAAACTCTGAACTGTGATTAAATCCTGGGAGCTCTGTCTTCATGAAAGGATGATGATGTTCCTGTGGAAGGATGAGTGTGACAAGCCCACTCCCTGCCCCAGCCTCAGGCTGTCTTGACCACCCACTTTGTATCATAAGACGACACAGTAAGAAGAAAGCCCTTGATCCTCTGATTTCCTATCTCCCAGAGAAACAAAATCCTTCATAAATTTTCCAGTCTGAGGTCTTCTGGTCCAGTGGGACAGAACAGACTGCAGTACTCTCCGCTAGCACACCGAAGGACGTTCTGCTCATAGATTTGTCCTCAGAACTATTTTTGACTTCCACCTAGTGTCTTTAAAGGGCAGCCATAACAGTAGTCCTTTTTATGGTAGCATAAGCAACTGCTTTTCCATCATGAAAAGGACGGAGTCCAGAATGTGTTTGGGCAGCACTGGCTGTGTAGCTGCTGCGCTAATGAACACACCTGCTGCCCTGGCCTCTAAAGCCGGTTGTCTGCCATTGCTATGATACCGTGCCTCGATTTTCACAATGCATCGGCCACTCAGACTAAGAGTGGTTTTTCTTGTGTTTCAAGAAATGGTGCATTTCAAGAAATGCACAGTCTGAATTTGAAGTTACATAGTTGGGTGTTTGCCATGATCCATAGAATGGAAACAGGAGATGCAATAGCACCCTACAGGGCAATTCTAAGCTGCAAGCTAATGGTCTTGATCACGTGGGGTCAGTACCGGCGAATATTAAACAGAGTCAGACATGTTCAGGCTGGGCTGCAGGCCATGCGTGGTTGAATGCATTGATCTTTAAAACTTATAAAAAGGGCCCTTTCAAAGTATGTTGTATTATTTTAGTTTATAATCACCCTTTTCCCAACCCGTGGTTCTTTTGTGAAAGTGAGCTTCTACCAGGCATTTTAAGTGAGTGCACACTCTACCTGCAATTGGATTGGTCTAGGAGGAGACATGGATTGAGCCGAGTGAATAAGGTTCAGAGAAAAAATTTGGTCTCCTTGATCTGTAGCAATTAAACTACTATGTTATTCCAGACCACAGACAGTTTGTACCCTGACTATGAAAGAACATTTATCTTTACAGTGGGAGAAATGTGCGGGGAAACAGAGTTTCATCTTTTCTGAATCCTGTTTCCAAATGTAACCTAGCCTGCCCTCAAATTCATAGGGTTTCTTCTCCCCCAGTTTCCTAGGTGCTAGGATTAAAGTACCACATCAGCCGGGCACGATGCCTCATGCCTTTAATCCCAGCACTTGGGAGGCAGAGGCAGGGGGATCTCTGAGTTTGAGGACAGCCTGGTTTACACAGTGAGTTCCAGGACAACCAGGGCTATAGCCTAAGATCCTGTCTCAAAAACCAGAACCAAAACGAAAACCCTATCACATTTATCTACTACTATCACATCTTCTCCCATCTTTTGAAAGCTGTTCTGGGCTTCACTCTGATAGCTATAGTGATTCCAAAAGTCCTTGGTGTTAGACAGATGATCAGAGTGTAAATTTAACAAACCACTACTCCCTGGATTTTTCAGAGACCAGGACAATGAACACATGAGTCAAGGAAAAAAGGCTTCCTTGCTTCTCAGGAGAAGCTTCTGGAAGAAGCAAAATCCCAGATAAGGATGAAGAAATGGACTCAGTTTATGAGCTAACACAAATCTATGATATTCTTTGTTTATGGACCAACAAGATTCCAGCAATAGCTACATAGTGTCCAAAACGAGAGATCCATTTTGTTGCTGCCATTGCTGTTGCCAAAGCTAGAGAACCTAGCAAAGATATCACTGTACCTGTGCTGGACAGTTTTATGTCATCTTGACACACACCAAAGTCATCTGAAAGGAAGGAATCTCAACAAAATGGGGCTGTAAGCAGGCCTATAGGCATTTTCTTAATTAGTAATTGAGGGGGGAGGGCCAAGTACATTGTAGGTGGTGCATCCCTGGGCCCTGGGCTAGAGGTCCTGGGTTCTATAAGAAAGCAGGCTGAGCAAGCCAGGAGTAAGCCAATAAGCAGTAACCCCTCCATGGCCTCCACATCAGCTCTTGCCTCTAAGTTCCTGTCCTGTTATAGTTCCTACCCTGGCTTCTTTCAATGGTGGGCTACATTGTGGAAGTGTGAACCAAATTTATTTTCTCGCCAAATATCTTTGGTCATGGTTTCATTATAGCAATAGCAACCCTAACTAAGACAACACCTATTGGCTGGCCCTACTGCTACCTTGCAGTCTCTGGCTTCTAGCAGCTAGCTAGAGAGCTCTGGGATATAATCAGACACTGGGAGAGTTTAGATCTCATGGAATGACTGATGATTTGGGACAGGAAGTTCTGATAGATACACTCTTCTTTATTGCTACACCCTCCTAGACAGTCCCAACACAGCAGCTCATGCAACCTTCTGAAGCCTCCAGGTTCTATGTTCTCTCTCCTGTCTTTACCTCTTCCTCTCCTTCTCCCTTCCTACCCACCCCCTACTCTCTGAACATGTGTAGGTAGGTATCCTTTAAGCCATGGTCCGCTTTGTTCTGTCTGGGTCCCATGGCTCACTGACGTGACCAGATGGACTAGCATGCTCCAGGGATCCACCTGTATTTTCCTCTCCAGTCCTGATAATACAGATGCACGCCACCACATAGGTTTCCATGGGTTCTGCGGTTTGAATCCAGGCCCTCAAACTCGTGGGATAGCACTCGACCAACTCACATATGGACTCAGCCCCTCACTGTCCTGTTTCCTTTTGTATTCCAAGTCACATCCTGGGCTCTGATAAAGTTTTATATGAGGCTTTGCTTTAGATTCTGAGAACATGGGCAAAGATAGAGAGGCGGGGATGATCTCCTGAATCATTAGTTCGTCTCTTATAGCTATGGAAGCAGCGCAAAGACGAGGCGATTTTGTGAAAATTAAGCAGGTACTAGAAGACACTAAAGGACATCAAACTGACATGGGCGGCTTCCTTCCCTCTGGACTCTAATTTAATTGGGTCAAGTGGAGGTTCCTCAGATGTAGCTTTCCGCAGTTGGCAGATGAATACATTATCTCCTCTAATACTGGCACTTGTATTTGCAAATTCTGCGTGCACACACACACACACACACACACACACACACACACACCCTTATAATAAATTGCCTCTTTGACCTTATGTTATCATGTGGGTTCCTGGTACCCACTACCAGTCACACCCTAACTGTCAGCCGAATGAAGTATTCTGAGAAACACTCATTGGAAACTGCTGTGCTTTTAAGTGTTAAAACAACCAACAAGGGTTAAAAAGCAAGGGCTGTGACTACAGCCATGCATAAAAGGCCGTTGATTTCTATTTTAATTTAAAAACAGGCACACACACACACACACACACACACACACACACACACACACAATGCCCTTTAACAATTCTGGAAGTTCTCGCCAATTCAAGGTAAACAATGCCCCCCCAATAAGAATAGTTTGAGAGTTAATCTCTGCCAGGCCAGCTTCCCTCTAGATGACGGATTCATTAGTTAATCATTCTGAAGCCAGGATTAGAGCGCAGTCCCCAGTTTAATAAACTATTCATTTCCTACAGCGCTGAACACTTTCATGGGCTTTTTAACTCTTACACCATAAACAGGACTATAAATTGTGCTAACAATTGTTTTTGAAAAGGACGTCAAGACTTCCGCTCTAAAATGGAGATTTGAGCCTGCACATTAGCTGTACCCCCCCCCCTTGATAAAGTTCCTTATTGAAATGGCACAGAACGTGTGAACATGATGAAAAGTTATTCTGAGAAACAGTAAAGAATTCTTCCCCTGAGAGTGTACCCGGGGGAACTTAGCAAAAACAAACATCCCTAGCCGCAAAGTGAAGCATGCATCATTAGGGGCGCACTTCTATATTAATCCTCCTCAAAGGGGCTTTCCTTTTACATTTCAGCTAAAACTTCTTTGGGGGCATGGCTGAGCATACCCAGAAGCATTCGTTTTTATCGTTATAACATTTTGAACACGTGCTCCATAACTTTTATGGAGCTCGCATCCAGAATTGTGTCCACTATCTTTTATTCCATTCAAACTAAGCGTGCTTGGAAATGTATTAGTTAAACTAAGCATGCTCAGGAATGTGTCCATCCTAAAGCGCTTTCCAATGAACACATAGAGGCTCCCTTATGAAAAAAAAAATTTCTCATGCTTCCTTTGTTCTGGGTAGGCACTGTACTGATAATAATAATAATAATAATAATAATAATAATAATAATAATAATAATAATAATAATAATAATACCAGTGTTGCCTGCCTTACCTGCTATAGAAATGCATCTTTCTTCACTCCCTTATCTCCCTTATCCCTTGGTTCTACTTCTTTGGCTTCCACTCACTAACATGAGAACCCATTGTGGTCATCTGTGATAGAAATGGACACAGGGAAGCACTGACTATCCCAAGGGTAGTAGACTAGAGTTAGCTAGTACAAGGAGAACCCCACTTAAGCTTTAAGATCATCAAGTCTAGCACACCAGGGGTTAGGGCAGTCTTTGGTGCCTACAAGGCAGTCTTTGTTGAAGCTGATTCCTACGTGGGTTATCCTACCCCTGGGAGGAGGAGATGGTAGCCTCCATAACCTTGTTACCACAGTACACACAGGGAAAAGAAAAGTCATGAAGTAAGAAGAAGAAAAAAAGAGCAGCAAAGTCTGCAGAGATGCTGAGAGCCTGAGCCCTCCCCTCCCTCCCCCAGTTGAGTTCGTTTCCCGTGGCCATTGTTAGAAACTAAAAAACAATTTCCAATCATTTTCCGGGGGCTGCAGAGCAATTTTCCTCCATCAGGAAACAGTTTGAGCTTGGCTGATTGTATGGAAAAGGCAAAACTGTACTAGACTTACAGCTGCCGAGGAGAGAAAGGGTCCCTTTTGCCATCCAAAGGTTAAGGCCATGGGTTCTAGGGCACTGATTGAAGTTTATTGATTTTCAATTGATGAAGTACCGTCAACGCTAGGCGGGAAAATGACATCCCTCAACCCAGAGAATGTTGCTTCTCGTCCCAGACTTGCTCTTGGAGTTGACAAGTGAA